CCTATTCAGGCTGGGTCTGCAAGAGTCCATGGCCTCAGAGGAGAGCCAGATCTTGAGTCCTAGTCAGAGGTGGTATCTTTCAGAACGCAGAGCTCGGCACAAGTTCTCTTTCATTTGGTGATAAGCACAGACATTCCTTCTCTACCAATGTGTGTGCACACAGCCACACCGAAGGTTCTCCCTTCAACAGTGTTTCAGAAGATGAGTCCTGGAGCAGACGTTGATCACCAAGAGGATGGCTTCTCAGGGACAGACTCTGAGGATGGGGTGTAGGGTGCAGTGAATTACAGCTCTTCTTAAAGTCCTGGTGTGGCACTGTAGAATAAGCAAGCACTGGACTGCTCATTGCAAGGTCAGCAGTTCAAACCCACTAGTTGCTCCTTGGAAACACTATACAGGATCGCTATGAGTCAGAGCTGACTCAAGGACACTTAACAACAACAACCTCCTTGTAACTCCCACCAAATGACTAGGTGTTGTTAAGTGTCGTCAAGTTGGTTCTGAATCATAGGGATCCTGTATACGGTTTCCAAGGAGCAATTGGGAGCTTTGAACTGCCGACTTTGTGGTTCTCAATCCAGTGATAATCTATACCACCAGGAGTCCAAATGACTGGGTGGGGCCATGCAAGTAGGATGCTTGGTGCCCTAAAGCAGGGATTCATTTGGCCACTCCACTGGGTTTAAAAGGAGCCATTTTAGAAGCAGAGACAGATGATGCAAGGCTCACCAAGAAAAGACTTGGGAAGAGCAGGAGATCCCTGCTTGTTAAAGCAGGAGCAGGACAGCAGAGGCAGCAGCTTTCCCAGGGACACAGTAAAGCTGACAGGAAGCTGGCTTCCAAAATGTGCCTTTAGGCATTTACACACAGCACTAAAGGAGCTTTGTAACACTTGCCAGAGCAGGGCAGGAGCCAAGGGGCCACGTGGCTGGGAGGCCAAGGACAAGAGGGAGGCATGCCTGCCATACAGCAGAGGTGTTCTGTCTTGAGAAATACTGTCTCCTGAATTGTGTCTGATCCTGAATTGTACCCTGTTCACTTCCCTAGTAAACCCCATAATCGTGAGTATTGTCTATTATCTTGATTTTTTTAAAAAACAAAATCAGGTCGAGGTGGGAGGAACCCCTTGTGAGGAAGGCTGGGCCGGGTCTCATTCGAGGTGTTGGTGTTCTTCCCTGAGCTGGGCTCTCCTTTCACTGACACGCCCTGGTCAGGGCCACCAAGGTCCAGCATCGGGGTTCTCTCGCTGAGGGACTGCTAGTAGACAAGCCTCAGTTTACCCACGGCTGGGAGCCCACTCGATGACTCGCGAGTATCCGTTGCTCCGCTGTCCTGTGGGGACGCCGGTCCTGTCCGGTGACCCCCTCGCCTGGGGCGTGACGGGCAGGGACACCGCTAGGAAACCGGGAAAACCGGAAATTGGAAGGGGGCAGCCGGAGGAGAAACGTGGGGACACAGGCAGGGGTGGGATGCCTTTCTGCCGCGCGCTGGTGGCGGTGGCTCTGCTTTGCCCCATCGAGACGGGGCTGGTTGGAGGGGCGGGGCACGCTGGAGGGGCGGGGCGAGGCAGCGTCGTTGCCTGGGTGACGCGCTTCTCGCGTCCGTTTGGCTTTAATATTCTGCCTGCTACGAAGCTGGGCTCTGGGTCCTAGGCGTCTGGTTGTAACGCATCTGGCCTGGTCCTCCTGCGGCCACCTCGGCATTGGGGCACAGGGTCGCGGGCTCGCTGTCCTATTCCTCCTCTAGCCGTCTCTATCTGGGGCCAACAGCGCTGGGCCTTATTTATTTTCCTTCTTCAAATTTTTATTCTCTGGTGCCCCACTTTTCTAACATCTACTAGTTTCCATTTTTTCGTTTTTAGAATTTTACGTTTGCCCCGTTATATACGCTATTATTTTCGAACTCTCATATTCTTTATTTCTCTCCTATCGTCTCTTTCCTTCCCAATGCTAGATCTACGCATTGCCCGAGTCTCCAAACTGGCTTAACCGCCATATAAAAAAAATTATTCTATTTTCCCCCTAATTTTTTCTTATTGTAGGGTGTTTCTTATGGTGTTCTAAAAGACCCGAGTCAATGGTCAGGCAAGTCCTTTTGGGACTGGATCATGATTTATTTACAGAAGTCCTCTCCTCAAGCTCAGTAAAGCTGCCAGATACCAGTTTGACATTTGTTGAGTGTTTCCCATGTCTGAAGCACTGCTAGATGTTTTCATCCATGATATTTAATCCTTATGACAGGTTTGTGAGGTAAGGGCTGGACTTGTGTGGAATTCTTTAATTTTAAAAATGTATTTGTCCATATTTAAAAGTCACAATATTTCACATTTTTAAAAAAAGTGTTGGATTTTCTCTTTAAAAAACATCATCAAATTCTGGCACCATTCATGCCCCGCTCCCCCATTACTCCCTTAAAACAAAGTATTGTTTCTTGAAGCCACCACAGTGCCTAGCATCTTACATTCAAGTCGCTACTCGTTTATGTTATTGGTCTCTGCTTATGGCCTCACCTTGTTCTGGAGCCAACTGGATTTCTTACCGGCTGCAATCTTCACACACTAACTGGTAACCCTTCTTCAATGCCCAAGAAGGGTTTAATATCCATTATGTAGTTGATGTTGTTAAGTGCCTTTGAATCGGTTCTAACTCATACCAGCCCTGTATAGGGTTTCCAAGGAGTGACTGGTGAGCTTGAATTGCCAAACAACCCAACACTCAGTCCTGCACATTAGCCTGCAGCGCCACACCAGGACTTCAACATGTTGTTATGTGCCATGGAGTCAGTTCTGACTCATAGCGACCCTGTACAGGGTTTCCGAGGCTGTAAATCTTTACGGGAGCAGAAAGCCTCATCTTTCTCCCCTGGAACAGCTGGTAGTTT